GATCTACTCGGCAAAGGGATCTGATATGGCACAGACGATGAGTGGTACAGAGCTGCGCTATGCCAGCCACCTACTCGGAAGCACTCACCTCTACTCCTGAGCCTGCGGCTCAGCCACATCTTTGCTTATCAGTACGGCGGAGGTGTCGGGAATTAACAGCAAGGGTAAGCACACACAACTGGCTGCTCTGGGTGACAGAGACCACCTCTCTGGGAGAGGGCCCTTTGTTGGTGGGCAGATCACAAATGACAGCCAATACTAGCAAAAGCTGCCAACCCCTGGGCTAAACAGTTATTCCTTAGGTCAGATTCAAAAACAACAACAACAACCACCATAGACAGGATTTGAGCAAAATTCAGACATCTAAATCCAAAAATCCCTGCTCAGAGCTCACCTAACTTTTGGAGGCACCTATACTTGCCAGACACTTCCCTTTTTGGACACAAGAGTCTAATCAGTCATTATATAAAAATAAACAAGTCAACCCACAACAAAACAGCTAGGCACCCTAGCCACACAACAGTGACTCTCAGCCTTTTTAACTTGTAGGACCCTCATTAGACTCGAGGCATCTTTCCATAACTATTTTGAATTGAGTGGCACCCAATCTCAGAAAGAAACTATTTTATATATTACAGTGCTTACCCACTTCTAGAAGGCCAGGTAGTGGGGGTGGAGGACTGGCAGGCAGGGACAAGCCTGAGCCTACACTTACCTGCTTAGCTTATCTTCTCACACCCCACAGCACCCTGCGTAGGATCTGGTGGCATCCAACGGTTCCACAGCACCTGGACTAAGGATCACTGCACTGTAGCTAAGACTTTCTCATACATGATTTTGGCATAAGGAATTGTGCCATGCCCATTCCACTCGTTCTTTACCATCTCCCGAGAGAGAGATTTGCTAGGATACAGCACCCAATGAAAGCAGTTACACTAATCAGCTCCAAGCACAGCTAATTAGTCTGCCTGCAGCATTGTATGAATGCAACAATGTATTTTCCAGAAGGGCAGCCCTTCCTCTTCTGCCTTCCCTTGTCCCCCCACCCCAGCACCACACTAATTGGAACCAGGAATTGTGCAAACCAGGTTGTCAAACATATGGCTCGTGGGCCAGATCCAGGACATGGAGCTGCATAATCTGGCCCTGTTGACCTACGTGCTGTGCTAGATTGACCCCTCATGGCACTCCCTGATGCTGAGTCCCAGACTGCACCACTCATGGTACTTGCTAGGACTGGAGCTAGGCTGCACTGCCCACAGGCCCAGGCAGGATCAGGCATGCAAGCAGGAGGTCCATGGGCTGATCCAGCCTGCAGAGAAGTCCCATGCCACTCAGCCGTCTGGAGCCAGATGATTTTGACACCTCTGGAATAAACTATTTGTGGTTCAAAAGATCTTGGGCACCCAGGTCTGAATCCCAAATTTTGCTTTAGTCTTCTCTAATCAGCATGTAGGTTCACCCATCTGAGGCACATAACTTACCACTAGAGCTGTCTAGGGAGTCTAACTTTGCAGTTTAAGGTGTCTGGACCCCCACAGGCCTACTAGTTAAGCCTAAGCCTTTTTGTGGTGGGGAACAAGACCTTGAATCTGTTGATATACTGCTTTGCTTACATGTATATTGTTGTGCATAACACACCATAGGTCCCAATTTGTTGCCTTATGTTTGCATTAAAATAAACATCAGTTATCTGCACATGGATTAAATGCATCACTTAAGCAGAGAGGAACTCTACAGCATCCCCTGACCATGGCAGGTGCAGGGGGGATAGCCGTAGAGTGCCCAGTGGCTGGTCACATTGAATAACTCAATTCCCTTTAATTACAAAATTTTTAAAACTGACTAGGTGCCATCAATTAAATTCAAGGTTTCTAAAGCCATCCTGAACTGACTAGTTCCTGGCACGGATCTTCGAGAACTCCTGGAGCTCTGGTGAAGTGCCCGAAGACTGGTGCCTATCTTCAAGAAGAGAAGGAAAGTGGATCCAGCAAACTACAGGCCCATCAGCCTGACCTCTATCCTGGGGAAGGTCTAAGAAAAGATTATTAAAGAGGCCATTCTTAACGGACTCGTCGATGGCAACATCCTGAAGGATAGCCAGCATGGGTTTGTTGCGGGTAGGTCTTGCTTGACCTTATTTCCTTTTATGACCCGGTGACCTATCACCTGGACAAGGGATAGGAGATTGATGTATATCTTGACTTTAAAAAAGCCTTCAATCTGATATCCCATGATCACCTCTTGGCAAAACTGGCTAACTGAAGCCTCAGGTCCACCACAATCTGCTGGCTGAGGAATTGGATCCATGGTCAGACCCAGAGGGTGGTGGTTGACGGAAGTCAATCGTCATGGTGCCCTGTGACCAGTGGGGTCCCTCAAGGCTCTGTCCTTGGACCTGCATGGTTTAGCATCTTCATTAATGATGTTGACATTGGAGTCAGAAGTGGACTGGCTAAGTTCGCTGATGATACCAAACTTTGGGGTAAAGCATCCACACCTGAGGACAGGAGGGGGATCCAGGCTGACCTGGACAGGCTCAGGAAATGGGCAGACGAGATCCTGATGATGTTTAACACCGAAAAATGCAAGGTTTTTCCTTGGGAGGAAAAACCTGCAGCATCCTTATAGGCTTGGCAGTGCTACGCTGGCTAGCACTATGGATGAAAGGGACTTGCGGGGGTCATGATTGACCACAAGATGAACATGAGCCTGCAATGCAATGCTGTGGCTAGTAAAGCAAGCAAAATGCTGGCTTGTATCCACAAGATGCTTCTCAAGCAAATCCCAGGACATCATTCTCCCCTTGGACTCGCCCTTGGTGAGGCTGTGCCTAGAGTACTGCATCCAGTTTTGGCTCCACAATTCAAAAAGGATGTTGAGAAGCTTGAGAGAGTCCAGAGAAGAGCCACGTGCATGATCAGAGGTCAGGAAAGCAGACCTTACGATGACAGGCTGAGAGCCATGGGGCTCTTCAGCCTGGGAAAGCGCAGGCTCAGGGGTGCTCTGATGGCCACCTATCAGTTTATAGACCACCAGGATCTGGGGGAATGTTTGTTCACCAGAGTGCCCTAAGGGACAACAAGGTCGAATGATTATAAAAAACTCCTGCAAGACCATTTCAGGCTGGACATAAAGAAGAATTTCTTTACTGTCCGAGCCCCCAAGGTCTGGAACAGCCTGCCATCGGAGGTGGTTCAAGCACCTACTTTGAACGCCTTCAAGAGAAAATTGGAAGCTTATCTTGCTGGGATCCTACGATCCCTGCTGATTTCCTGTCCCTGGGGCAGGGGGCTGGACTCAGTCTTCTGAAGTCCCTTCCAGCCCTGATGTCTATGAAATCTATAAAATTTGGAGGGTGCTATTAAAGGCATGAGGTGTTCCAAGAAACAAGCTAAGGAGCCTTAATGAGGTGCAAAAAGCACAGAAAAGGTTGTTCCAGTAGTTAAGCAGCAGTGCTCACACAGACTTTGGATAAGCACATGCCCCAGGTAAGAGCAGCACTCACTGTGCATGTAAATGGAGCAGGCTATGCAATGCAAGATTTCTGCAGCAGACAAAAAAGTTACAAGTTACTCATTCACTAGCAACATAGTTACAGCTCTGCTTCAAAAACATTTCTTACATCAGCAGTGACAAGAACTTTTAAATCATCTTCCAGCCAATGACTTCAACATCTCACGGCCCTTTACAGTTCAGTCCTGCATCCATGAAATGAGAGAAAGAGAAAAAGAGAGAAAGGAGGGAGGATAAACATGGTTAGGGTAAATGGCCCTGACCTGAGAAGGCAGGTACCTTTGGCTCCAAACCAGGGATGGATGGGGGGGAGGAAGAGGGTGTGCATTTGCTTTGATTTATCCTGCACCCAAACTTTAAAACCAAATGCCTGGGAGTGGCATTTCTATCCAGGAAGCCCTGAAGACATCAACATCAATTGACTTTATGGCTCATTAGAATCTACGTGGCTTGTGCTAAAACATTTAAATATAATTAATCCAAATATCCAAGTGCTGCAAGCATAGTTTTTCCAACTAAACTTGAGATACATTGCATTTGTAGGGTTTCCATTATGCTTTTGCTTCAACGAACCAGAGGCGCATGCTTAAGCAGTAAAGAGGACTGAGCATGTACAGGACAGATCCTTCACCCGCTTACTAGACTTGGGGTGAAAGAAACCAAATGAGCTGAGCCGCACACAGACCGAGCCCAGCCGAGTCATGCACTGCTTCTCCATGCTCGGAGAAGATTCTTCTCCCTCATTCCCAAGGTTTTCTTCAGCTGCCCTGTTGTTGGCTTCTCTTTTCCTTAGCTGCTCATCTTGCCTTGTTCCCTCCTTCCAGCTCGTATCGCCTCATATTGTGGACAACCTTCTGCCCTTGTGAACAGCTTGCACGTTGCACAGCTCAAATGATCCTTTCTCCTGCAATTTTGCCGTCTGCTAGCCACTGCTGACCACATCCCCCTTTTATTTCGCAGCCCTGCGGACTGTTTTCAGTTCGAGCTCAAACCCTTAATTCATATGTGGCGATGTGACGACGGGAGCAGAAACGACAGACAGCAAAGTCCTGGCGGCACAGTCGAGGCCCTCAACAAGGCTTCGTGTTGTAGGACCAAACCGTATTAGGCAAGCGTGCTTACCTGCAACCACTCGGGACCGACACTAGCCTCGCTCGCTGCTCTAGCAAACAAGCCAACCTGCCTTTGCGCAAGTGACAGTTTCTGCTGGGACCAACACCGTACCTAGACTCCCCGTGGCCCTGGGCCAACTTTTAGTCTGAGCCTCCATTTACTAGAGATAATGTTAATAATAATTATTATTATTATTTTCACCATTTTCTGGCCCCCTTCCTGCCCTCGCCCAGTTCACCCATTGCTGTGCTGGCCCTGGCACCAAACCCCTCCAGCTCCTCTCGAGCCCCACCCCCACGCGGGCCGCTCTATACGTGACACAACAACCCCCAACCTTTTCCAAGCCCCGCCCCCTTCTTTCTCACGTCATAAGCATTGGTGACCCGTAGCAACGCCCTCAAGGCGGGATCAGAACGTTGCGGGGGTCCCGCTCTACACCGCTGCCGGCGCCGCGTGAGGAAGGTTGGGACCTAGGGGAGCGAAGGTTTCCATGGCAGCGGCCCGGCAGATGCATGCGCACTGCGAGCGGGTGGCAGCTGGAAGGCGGTGCTTCAGGCCGCCATGTCGGCGCCGCTGCGGGAGGCCACGCAGCAGAGGCTGGCGCGATTCGCCCAGCTCCGAGGTAGCCCCCGAGGCCGGCGGGAGGGGGGAGCCGGGATCGCCCCGCCCCGGCCCTGACACACGTTGGGTTTGTGGTGCGATTGACTGGAGCGCTGCGCAGGGCCCGTGGCTGGGCCGCACGTCGCAGTGGGGGTGTGCAGGCAGCTGGGGAAAGGGGGGACCCGCGCTTGAGAAGCTGTAACCACCCTAGGGGGTTTCTTGCCAGCTCCGGTTTAAATGCAGCCTTTAGTGCAGAGCAGGGGGCATCGCAGCGTCCTCTGGGAGCGGTGGGTGGCCGTGGAGCACCCAGTGGCTTGAATCTGCACCAGGGACACTCTGAGGCTGCATCTGCCACTCCTGGTTTTTGAAGGCTTGGGTTCCCCAGCACCAATTACTTAGACTGCTGGAGATCTTGCAACAGGACAGGGTGTCCAACTTGGGGTGCCTGTGGGCTGGGGGTATCACAGAGCTGGTCTGCAGGCTGGATGGGGCCCACGGACTTTCCGGCCTCTTGTCTTCCCTCCACCCCACCTGTGCCAGACCCAACATGTGCGGTGGGACCCGCTGGCACGGAGCACTTGTCCAGAACGCAGCGCCCACGCCAGCTGGTGCAGGACTTTACTGCACGTGGTGCTGCTCTTCTTCAACTAGTCCAGGTCTGCACTGCATGTGGCGCCTGCTCAAGCTGGTTCTTCTGGACTGGCTGGAGCAGATGCTGAATACTCCTCGTGCCCTGGGTCAGCCAGGGTGGAGGACACTATGTGCAAGGCAGTCCCAGAGCAGTTAGAGCAAGTGCCCTGTGTTATATGAATCCCAGAGCAGCTGCTGCTTGCATCCCAGGCTCTGTGTGTGGGGTCAGTATGCGAGTTAGCTTGGACTCAGAGACTGGCTCTCTTTTTGTGGGCCATATCTTTGATATCTCTGCTACAGGCCAGTGGCTGTTAGACTCAATGCACCCCTCAGAAAATGCCAGCTCTTAGTTTCCACTCCTTTTTGATTCTGGAAAAAGGGTAACTTTTACTGTTGCAAAGAACTCAGAAAGACCATAACAGGTCAGGATGCTTTTAACACTATGGATTCCTATTTAACATCTCTGGGTTTATCTTGTTTACGCACATAAGTGTTAACATTGCATGATACCACACAGCCACCACACTGTGGTTGAGAATCAGTGTAATGAAATGTGTCAGTAACTTCTGTCAACAAAATACCACTACTCATTGGTTAACATACCTTTTTTTCAAATAGGTAAAACTGCTTGCACTGGAGAATTCTGGGATGTTGTCGTCATTACAGCAGCTGACAAAAAACAGGAATTTGCTTATAAAAAGCAGTTATCAGAAAAGTTGAGAAGAAAGGAGCTCCCACTTGGAGTAGATTATTGTGTTTTTGTGGACCCCCCTGGACAAAAAATTGGTTGGTATTCATTGTCAGTTGTATGTTTGCTACAGAACAGTACAATCAAAGACATTTTTAATTTTGCCAGTCTTTGACTCCTTATTCATATATTTATTAAACGTTTAATAAGTTTATAAATTTCACAGATTATAGAGCCATGAGGTACCAGTGTAATCATGTAATATGACGTCCTCCATAGGCTGGCTGTAGGGCTTCCTTGAAATCATTCTGGTCCAAGTTAAAGCATTTCTCAGAGCAAGAACACATACCAGTTTAAAAGATTCCAGTAGTATAGTCCAGTGTTCATTCTGCAACACTCAGTAAAGTTTATTGTTTAAGTTTGCAATTTAATTTGATTCATTTTTAAACAGATAACATTTGCTCGTTCTGGTTAAGTGTTATGACAACAGTTAACAATTTATGGAATGGTGTTTAAGTTGAATTATATGAATTAAATCACAAATTAATGTCCCAGTAGTATTAGATAATGTCTTGGTTGGGTTCAAATGTATAACAGTCACTATTCCTGTGTGGTGGTCTTCTGGATTTTATATCAGTAGGTCTGTTAATTTATCCCTGTAATGTGTATGCTTTGGTGATTTAGAGAATATGTTAGTAGTACATTGTTGTGTGAGTTCGTGCCGAATTATATAAGGACTGAATTAAGCACAGGCTCAGACCTGGATGTTCAATTTAAAACTTTTATTGTTTCACAAAGTCATAAACTAAGGAGGTCTGTTGGTTCACGAGGTTCCCAAATCAAGCCCTTGCTTTCTAACCCGAAGGCTAGGTGCGGCTGCCTGATTCAGTAGTCTCAGAACTGGTCAACAGCTCATTTAAAAGGAGTCCCTTATCTTTTTTTAGACAAAAGATACAAAACTGTCCCCATTCTGTCTGAGTGAGGCATCTAACATAACTTTTCTATTACTTATATATGATAACACATATACATATGCATTTCTAATTCTTACTTCTGTTGGTTACTAGTTAACTCATCTATATTCTACACGCTCTTTATTATAATTGGTTACGCTTCTTATGTTAATTTCTAATAGTTTACTTATAATACTCCCCAGACTTTATCAGCGTGATATATGGTTGTTTTTGTTCTTGTGGTTCAGCCTTGCATTTCTGTATTTTCTAAAAAAAAACCACTGCTTTGCTTGCAATTTTTATGATACTGTCAGCATTCTTATTCAAGGGTCAGATGGTGAAAACCAGAATGTCAATCGCTGACTTCTCAACCTCCTTGAAGCATTCTGGGAGTTTTAGTGCGTTGTTCATTATGCTAGGCCTTGCTTAGCATGAGCACTATCTCACAATTGTATGATAAGTGTAGAGTACAGAATATAGTTTATTCGAATTTCATATGCATTAGTAATAGACTCATGATGGTGTAGAATGAAAATCTCTGCATCTGATAGATCTATAGTAGTGAATGTATATCAAGAATCCTAGTTACGAAAATGTTAGTGTCCTGTTGTAAACTTTAATCTGTGTCATGTATTTAGAAAGTAGCTAATCTGATTATTCCATCTACAATGCAAAATAATTTGCAAATATTATTTTTTGTTAATTTAAAATATTTTAAGATAGAGGAGCATAGAAAGTACCCAGATAACGTTGCAGTATTTAATTTCCCTTCACAAAATGTGAATGTCAAAAAGGACCACTGAAAACTTGCAAAAATTCTTTAGTGAAATTTTATATGGCAGGTCTCCTATAAAAGTCAGTTTTTATAGCTGAATTATGACCCTCTCAAAATGACAACAAACTTCTTAATGATACTGTTGTTCCTAGGTTGAATTGGAGAGGGAATGTGTTATTTTTGCAAGATTTATCCACTTGAAGCACCATTCACAATGCGTGTAAGAGTTTCCTAAGATGATTATCTTTCATCTTTCTTGTATGTTTTGATCAACATCATTGAAGTAGAAATACTGTCCTTTCAGAGTGTTTTTAGGCAATTTCAGATGGACATTGTTGTATCTGTTGTCACTCAGTTCTCTAAACCATGAAGGCAAGAGGTTTCATTTAAAAATAAACTAATGTTTTGAAGCACATGAGGTCCGCTTCTAAACATGCTGTTGCTCATTGTAGTACTGCAAGCTATTTCAGTTCAGCGTTTGGTACTGATTAGTGTTGCTGTATTCTAGTATGCTTGGCACGCTTGTATTGCTATTGGTGATTTTCTTTTAAATATGTATTCATATATATTCCAGGGAATGGTGGATCAACACTTCACGTCCTTCAGTGCTTGGAAGAGCTATATGGTGACAAGTGGGCTTCTCTTACCATCATACTAATTCATTCTGGTAAATTATTTTCCTGTTTAAAAAAAAAAAAAATTGTGGCACTATGATTATAGAGTTTTTTTATTGGAACATATGGTACTCATGGTGGAGAAACAGGCTGCCAAATGTTGCTTCCATTCAAAATTAATCTCAAATATGGTTTATTTGGTAATTTTCTACCATCTGAGTGTAGACTGAGACTTTTTCCAACTCTCCCAGTTAAAAAGATCTGAAAATGCTATGAAACAGGACCCAAGGGTTTTCAGAAGAGAAGAAAGACTTGTCACCATTCAACAACAGCCCAGTCCATAGGTAACACGTAGGCAGGGCACAGGGAGACACGTGCCCCTCCCTGAAATTGGCCCTTACTGGCCAGGGAGTGGTGCCCTGCCTGAAAAGTACTGGCGGCACTTCTGGTTTCCTGCTGGCACTTCCGGGGTTGGCGATCGGCCACTGGTGCCCCCTCAACCAGGAGGCACCCATCCCATCGCCCATGGCCCTGTCCACCAAGCTGCTGCTTGTTTGGGTTATCTATGATTTGAAGTGGCAAACAAGATTTCTACTTACATGTTGCAAGAAGTGAATAGCATTCACTTTCTGATGCTATATGTCTTTGCAGATTTTTAGGGAAACACAGAAAATAAAATAAAAGCATGACTAGCTCAGAAAAGGACACATGATTTCCCATTCTTCTGTACTCCATCCAGCAGTGATGAATGGGGTTCATCATTTTTATTCAGGGACCTTTTTCCTACTTCGGCTACAAACTATAGAAGACGAAGTTGGTTATAATTAAGAAAATACCTCTTTAATGTATTCCTTCTTTTGGACAAGATCGGGATTGAGATTAGCATCCATCACTAGAAATTTCTGAAAGAGAATGACTGGTAGTTCGCTCGTTCTTTCCTTTTGGACACATCCCTGGAATGCCACCATGCTTCTCCTTTATGCCTCAAAACATAGGTAAAATAGCCATTTTGATACTCATACACCTACCTAGTTCTTGCTAGTTTTGAATACAGGTTCATGAGATCCTTACAGAGCAGTGTCTGGCGTATATAATAATAATAATAAACCTTTTCTTTTTTTTCTTAGGTGGTTATAGTCAGCGTTTACCAAATGCAAGTGCACTGGGAAAAATTTTCACAGCTTTGCCTTTTGGCAACCCTGTTTACCAGGTGTTAGAACTTAAACTGGCAATGTACATTGATTTTCCCACCCACATGAAACCAGGAATTCTCATTACATGTGCAGATGATATTGAACTTTATAGCACTAGTCATCAAGTAATCAAGTTTGATAAGCCTGGATTTACTGCTTTAGCTCATCCTTCAGATTTGACAGTTGGTACCACTCATGGAGTATTTGTTTTAGATCCATCCAGTTTGTCAGAAAAGGGAGAACTTGAATATAGCTTTTGTCATCAATTCCTACATAAACCTAATATTGAAAGGATGCATCAGTCTGGTGCAGTACTTGTAAAGAGGAATTTTTCTCAAGTAAATTCTGAAGAACGCCATCACTCAAAAATGGATTTTGAGTATGTGTACACTGACAGTTTATTTTACATTGATCATAGCATTGCCAAAAAATTGCTAGCATTTTATAAGCAGATGGAAACACTTTGCTGTGAAATAGATGCATATGGTGACTTTCTACAGGCTCTGGGACCTGGAGCAACTCAAGATTATATAAAAAACACAGCTAATGTCACAAAAGAAGATTCACAGTTAATAGAAGTAAAACAGAAACTATTTTCTCTTCTTAAAGGAACAGCACTTAATGTTATAGTCTTAAACAATTCCAGATTCTATCATATTGGGACTACTAAAGAATATTTATTTCATTTCACTTCTGGTAGCCAACTTAAATTTGAGCTTGGCTTACAATCTAACACATTCAGCATCTTCCCAGATAAAGCAGAAAATTCTGACAAATCAGCATGCATCATTCAGAGCATAATTGATGCAGGATGTTGTATAGCTCCTGGCTCTGTTATTGAATACTCCAGGCTAGGACCCGAAGTTTCGGTAGGGACAAACAGCATTGTAAGTGGTTGTTGCATAAATTCTAAAGCAGACATTCCACCAAACTCTTTTTTGGGTTCATTAAGTGTCAGGATTAATGGAAAACTAATGTATGTGAGCATGTTGTTTGGTGTTGAAGATGACTTGAAAAAGAATGTGAAACATTTTTCAGGCGTACATTCACTTCAGTTTTTTGGAGTCACTTTACTACAGTGCTTGGATCTCTGGGACCTCAAGTTGTCAGACCAACTCTTCTCTGGTGACAAGACAAGCTTAGGCTTGTGGACTGCTCGGATTTTTCCTATTTGTTCTACTTTAAGTGATTCAGTTAGAATGTCATTAAAGATGTTAAATGCTGTGCAGCACAAGTCAGCTTTTAAATTGAATGGCTTTAAGCTCCTGTCTATTGAAGAAATGCTCTTTTACAAAGACGTAGAAGACATGTTGAAGTTTAGGCAGGAAATTTACAAAGAAATCAGTCTGCAAAGACAAAAAGAGAAATCTGATTTGTAGAAGCACAGTAATTGTACACTTTGGCAGTCTTTAATTTGAGGATGATTGGTTGCTTTCAAGCTTGTAGAACCCAGAAGGAAAAAGTACACAGAATTTTTTTTTCTGGTTTTATTGAAGTAGAAATAATGAAATTGCATTAACAGTGTTATTGTAGCATAACATTAATAATGCAAAAATGCAGATAAACTATTCTTTTGATGAAAGAATTAATGAAATATTTCAAATCTATGAAAACACTAAGAGGCAAATATTCTTGTAGTGTCTTGTTATGTATTTTTAGGTTTTTCTTAATGAGACTATGGAATAGAACATGTTAATTAAACATTTGATTGAAAAACTACTTAAAACTTCTTCAGAATTCAGTGTTGGCTCCATCAACCTGGTGTTGCATAGCATTGATTCACCTTTCTTTGCATGCTTCATAGTTTTAAAATTCTAGTTTCATGAGGTAATTTTTTCTCCCTTTTAAACAAAGCAAAGATAATTACATGAATAACTTTAAATCTGTTTAAAAGATTACTCATGAAAGTTTTATTACAAGCTTAGAAGTATATAAGTACGTATGTTCTTTTACAGAAAACCGATTTTTGTGAAATGATTATGTTAAAGTACCTGAACAGGTGTAAAATTAAATAAAGAGTCACAAGAATTGACCTGGTGTATGCTATGCCCTTCCCATTTCTGAATCATCTTATGCGTGAAAGCATATGGTATTAAAATATTTCCAAGTTACTGGGTGCAATCTAACTGGTGATCATATTGATGGAATTAAAATGTATTAATTTGTTTCTCTTAGATCCCATGGAAGTATAAAGAAACAAATCTAATTGTAAATATATTGTTCTTATCTATTATTAAATTATGTTTGAGTAAAAGGTCATTATAATTCATAGCTGTAATAATAGTGAATGCTTGCCCTCAGGAGGACACAGAATTCACTTTTACACGTTAGTTAGCTGATAGTTTGGTTATGGGGCCATCAGCATTGTGTTCCTCTAGGACAGAGGGCTGTTAAGAATGACACGAATGCCTATATCCCTGACTATTGTGTACTGGACTATAAACGTAAGGTCTCATTAGTGTGATACTGATTCATTTTTGATTCTCACTTCTGAAAATGAATGTTCTGCACAGCAATAGCAGATTGGTAACTTCTAGCAGCTCTACTCTAATGTTAGTTCTATAAAATAATACACATTAGCTTTACTTCTATATTTTTCTTTAAAGCTTTCCTTTGATTCTTCCTTTGGATACAGAAGATCTACTTTAGAATAGATAAATATGCGTACCATTGTTGAGCTGTTATACTAGTATGGTCACAAAGGCAAACCATTTTGCTTCAATAAAAGTTCTCTAGTCTTCTCTCTATTCCCTCCAAAGCTTTTTCTTTTAAGTAACCCATTATGTACATAATCAGTGAACATTTTTCAGCTACAAGATTGAAAAGTGCCCACTCAGACTTTATAACAAGTTTCTTCTTAACTTTTGAATTCACACAACTCCAGCTATTGCACTCTTTTCTAATCTTGTCACCAAAATAGCCACTTTTTATTTCTACTTCATTCTAGTTTTAAGAATTTTTTTTATATCTGAGTCTGTAAGTTGAATACAAATTTAATGCAGCTTTTACCTCTTATTCAGCCTCCTGGTTTTGATGTCCTCTTACCACCTCTGAGCCTCCCTTTTTAAAGAGACTCATCTATAAATTGATCTGTCTTTCTTCCTCATGATCTTTCTCAAGATCTCAAGATTTACTTTGGCTCCTCTTCATTCAGCCAGAACAACTTTTTTATCTAGTACTTTTGAAGTGGGCTGATTTTAAGTGGCCTCTTTCAAAGGTATCCTATCTGGCTTCTAGTTTTCTATTCTTTTTTTAGCCCTTGGAGAGAGAAGATCCATTCATTTCTTTGTACCCTGGTCCCTTCTGGAACAAAAACTTCTAGGACCTAAATGCTCTCATTGCAGTTATCTGTATCCCTCAATGGTATGTGAGAGTATCTCCCAGAAACACATTTTGTGGTAACAGAACTTCAGTTCTTACAATAGATTTGGGCAAATAGAACATCCTGGTTCAGTATCAGGTTTGAATACTACATTCTGGTAATCTCTTTACTAGCTTATATCCAAATGCATTCACTTGATGCCTCCAGTCTCTCTCCCATCAAATAATGTACTTTTCTGTCTATAATAATGTTTTACAATATTGATTAGTGGCACAATATACATGATGCTTAAAATGTTTTAAACACTCAGTCTCTCTTCAAGAAAATCTACCCATTTCCTTTATGACCTTACTAAATCCTGTAATAATTTTGAATTCATATAAAACTGATCATGGAATGGAAATACCAGGAATTTGTATTCTTTTTTTTAAGCTTGTTAAAGACTGTACAATAGAAAATTGAGTCAAGTTATAATGTGGAATTTGAGGTAAGAAGCCTAACCAGAGAGAAATTGTTAAAGTATTATCAAATTAAATTT